AGAGAAAACGCGGGTATAGAAAATGGTAATACAGAAAATTAGACACGTATAGAAAACGAGTTTATAGAAAATGCACACATAAACAAAAGACTCTGCCGCAGAAGGTCGATTTTTACTTAGCCTCTGTGCGGCTCATAGCACTTTTTTTTTTTTTTTTTTTTTCTTTTTTTTTCTTTTTCCATTTAACGGTAAATATAAGGCCTGTGCATCTTAAGATTACTTCTATCCTACTCTGTTTCTTCCGCTTTATAAGATGGTAGTGTCCATTTTCTATCTACGCGTGTTGCGGTCTTCAACCTTTACCTTCCAGGAAAAATGTGGGGTTAAATAACACAAATAATGTAACATACTGTGAAAATAACCATGGTTATTCACGTTTCCATTGCAGGGGGCTGTGCCGGCGAGAAATGTTTCGGTTTTGGTGTTACGTCGATTCTAGGTTGTTCTTAAGACTATATAGTGGAAACAAAGAAGAAAAAGACCTTAATAACTATCGCAGTTCGATTTCTGAGGCCATTAAGTACCCCAAGTCCCCCCCCCCCCCCCTCAAAAAAATAAAAAAGCGATTAAAACGAAGCGATTCACGATCCACAATAGACCGACCAAAAGAAGCAAAGGAAAATTGACAGTTTGATCTTTCGATATAAGGTATTTGGTTTATTGTTTACTGTATGGATGTATGTCTATATTGCCGTACGTATTGAGGTGAAGAGAATGTGTCCCGGGGGGTGTTGGGGGGGGGGGCTTGCTTCCCATCAACCCTCCCCTCGAGCAGTGCCAGGTCACGCCACCGTAAATTGCTAGGTTAGGACTTTTTTTTTTTTTTGGAAGGTGTGAAATCCCATAGATTTTGCTGAAAGATGGGTTGGATTCCCATAGTTTTTTGAACTGGCGCTTACATGGAATGTTTTATTTTCTTTGTTTTCATCATATATAGTTAATTTGATCTATGAGCAAAAGATTTTGTAAATGCACCCCCCCCCCTATGGGGGGTAGGAATGTGAAATGATCCAAATCACCACAAAAATTAGGGTAAAACATACCTCAGGTATAAATTTTTACTAAAATCTGTCCATAACTTTTTGAGTTAGAAAAATTTACTGGATCCGAACCATGGTCCACATCTCCTCCAAAGTGCAATCAGCGTCTAAGTTAGGTTAAAACACACCTTTGGTTAAAATCTCATTAAAATTTGTTCATAAATTTTAGGAATATGAGAAAACACAAACAAACAAACAATCAGCAAACAAGCACACACAAATGGAAGTAATAATAGAAATAAACAAAAGGTCATGGGGTACACAAAAATGATCTATATATCCTTGCATACCTTATATACTGTTTCTTCTTTGGGTGTCCCCCCCCCTTTAACCCCCAATTCTCCACAGGCCCCCAGGATTGAAGGGGGGTAGGAGAAAAAAACATAAATAGGTGTGGTTGTCTTAGAATTACCAAATCTTCAGAAATTCACACCATCCTAACCTCAAATAAAATGTCCTGACCAATAACCAACCTAACCTAACAATCTAAACTGGGTAAAAGTTAAAGACAGCAACTCGCAGTGATAGAGGGAAATGCCATCTTATAGAGTGGAAGAAATAGAGTAGGATACAACATAGCTTTAGTTGCAGCGGCCTCATATTCACTGCTAAATGAAAATATACCACACAATCATTGCTCGTATTCTAAGTCCTGTATCTTGTTTACCTTGCAAAAAATAACAACACTGACAGAGTCAGTAAATGTTCTGAGTTGATTATGAATGCAATGAAATGCTACTTTTCGGAAATGCAATCCAAACTTCTATTTACAAAAGATAAAGTAATGTGAATTCGGAAATGCGAGGCAAAATTTACATTTTCTACAATCGAAGAAATACGACTTTTCCAAAATGTGAGTGTCTGATTATGCCACCATATTTGAAAATAAGGAAGCTTAAATGCACATGGTTACCAGCACAAAATTTACTCACGGTCCAAGTTGCTGTGATTAGGTGTGCGCTTCGGGCACTGCCTGAGGCAAGGGCTGATGGGGGGGCTCTGACCCCAACACCCTCCGGGAAACTCTTCACCTCGGTATGCACCACAAGATAGAGTAAGATAGTTCAGAAAATTTCACACATTCTTTCATCTTGTATGATTCTGTGAATCTAAAAAAATAATAATAATAATAAAAAATAAAAATAAATAAATAAATAAAAGATAAAAAATAAAAATAAATCAAGCACACCACCATAACACAAATGACACACGTCAGTCATTGTCACTGAGAAGAATGAGGCAGGTCACCAGTGTAATCCAGAAATCTGCCTGTTATTTCCATACTCAAACTGTGTTAACCCTTTATCGGGCAAGTGACCATATATGATTACTTAAATACATATATCTATGAGGTATTTACAATGTGTGCCCTGTAAAGGGTTAAGTAACAACTGTGTTGTTTGGCGATTAAGAAAATTAATCAACCTAAATTGAGGATCAAAATACGCATTGTAATATGA